TGGGGAAATACGGTACTTTGGGGAGAAAGATGAGTTTAATTTTGGGATATTTTAAATTTGAGGTGTCTTTGGGATATCTATTTGGAGATCATGGGAGGTCCATGCTACGGATAATGGTAGCAGTTAGCATTAGTGGTAAATATAGCATTGGAATGGTTGTCTATAATATGAGAAGGCTAAGAACAGAATCCTGTAGAACACTCCTCCAGATTACAGGAAAAGGAGCTTACAAAGGAAACAGCATAGGAAGACCATGGAAATGATGGAAGATAAAGATAAAAGTTGTTTCGAAAAGGACAGAGTAGTTAGTAGTGTCAAATGCTACAGAAAAGTAAGATTGCTAAGCCCCACGGAGGTGGTCATTGGCCTTGATTCAGAGCAGATTCAGCTGATTTCAGTGGTGGTGTGAGTAGGAGAGTCAGAGTACAGTCATTGAGAAGTTAATAGGAAACAGGCAGCTTTTTAATGAACCTTATTTATAACAAAGAAGGAGGAGGAAAAGGACAGGAACAGAAAAGACAGAGGTATAAAGAGGAGAGAGGCATTTTGTGGTTTAAGATGGCAGAGACTCAGGGAAGTTAAATGCTGATGGAAATGCCACAGTAGAAAGAAGCCTAGTGTCTGGGAGAGGGAGAGGATCTTGGATGAGCAAGGTTGCTGGGATGGTAGAAAACTCAGCCCGCTTGGACAGGAGAGCCCTAGGAGGAGTCGCCTCTTCCACGGTGTGGCAGCCAGGCAGCGAGGTTTATCAGACATGGTGGCAAGAGGCGAGGGGCTTCACTTCTGATGGAGTTTCATGTTCCTGGAAAAGGAGGCGGTGAGGTTGTCCCCTGAGAAAGAGAGTTAGGAGAAGACTGTGATCTGAATGGGCTGTTTGCATTTAACAGTTCAGAGGAATAGTAATTGGGGTACAGTGAAGCCCAGCACTTGGCCATGGAAGTAGGCAGCCAAGGTGGCATGGGGTGCATGTAGTCTGAGGTGTGGCCCCGTAAGTGCCACTGTGCCTACGCTCTCACCTGTGTTACCACACGTTGTCTCTCCCTTTTTAGTTTCTTGGCATTGTAGTTTTAAAAGAAGCCGAATTATGGGATTGTGTACTTTAAATCCACTTGAATAATTAATGGAATTTTGCAAAAGATTGTGTATCTTCAAACATCTCTGTTTTAACTTTGCAGGTTAGCACATTGTCACCCAACTTCCTCATGGCTTCTAATGCTTGCATAGAATGAGTTAAATGCTGTAGTTATTTATATGTAGTATTTTTTTTAAATAAATTGGGGGAGAAAGTCTGCCAAATTCATGATGGGAGTTGCTTCTGGCGAGAAGAGGACCTCCTTTAACTTAAGATGTTCTGTTTCTTTTATATAATACTGAAGACATTTATATGAAGGGACAAAAATGACAGTTTTAATATTTGTTCTTTCTGTGTCATAGATATATAGAGGTTTATTATCTTGTTCTGTATACTCTCTGCCAAGAGAACTTGCTGCAGTACAAAGAGCAAGCAAGGCAACGGAATGCCCTGCTAACAGTTTACGTTTTTCATCATAGACCCTACTGGATCCAAATTAAGACATATTGAGGGGGACATGAACTCAGTACAAACAACTGGAATACCCTCTAAGGAGCTTTGACACGTACATTATCTTATTTTCCCTTAAAGCATCCCTACGAGATGGAGTTTAAGGTCAGGAAATTTGGGCTTAGAGATGTTAAATTCACTATAATTATTAAGTAGTAGAGAAAGGTCTAAAACCCAAATCTGCCTGATTGCAGAGCGCTTCTCCACTACAACATACTGGTTGCTACTTATTTATGCCAACCTATTATCTACCTGGGTATATGTTTAATAAATCTGTAAAGCTACCGGCTAACACTTAACAGAGTTGATTACATGGATTTTTGTAACCCATAAATGTATATATTTCTGAGAACTTGCCCGTGAAGTGAAGTTCTAAATACCAGTTGGTTTTATACTAACTTCCCATGTATATAAGCATGTTACCTTCTATAGCAGATGCATTCCTGAAATATTGTGCATAAAGTTAATTTATTGAGTCAAATATATAAGGAAATTACAGTTTAAAGAAACCATTTTTGTGCAAACGGTCACCCTCTGAATTGAACTGTTTGTAAGTGTGAACATTTCAGTGTTCCAACACCCTGGAGTTTTGGAAGGAGGCATGTGCCTGGGTGCATCCAGTTCACGAGAGCCTGTGCTTCCCCTCGCCCGTGCCCGCAAGCTCCTT